TTGATTTGCGATCCATGTTTATACAGGGATCGGATTGGGTTTGGGCACGGGAACGGGAACGGCAAGTAGATATATCGGGATTGAGCGGTTGACTTGAGTCTTTAGGACTCGTACGAGTGAAATTCTCACATGAAGGAATATTGCTGTGTTAAGCGTGTTTAGGGGAATGAGAGAAACACGCTAAAATGCGGCCAAGAGTAATTGCACTAGACGAAGTAGGCACAGATCACGAATTACGAACGTAATTGAACTACTAGCACTTGCACACTTGCGTCTCCCCCTCACCGAAGAGAATGAGAAAAAAACAGATGTACAAAGAAGGTTTATTGGTTATACAGGTACCCACCAATCGTCTGTTTGTAGTCCTGACGTCATACGGCTTCTGACTGAAACGCACAACTTCTGATTGGTCGGGACGATTGGCCTATGGTTCGTTGTCCAGAATCTATAACGCATAGGTGCATGGCTGGCGTCATCTGGAAGGGTTGACTCACCACAGTTTTCCAGAAACTGTATCGTGTCAATCCATGGCCGGTGTTTTACTGTAGGTTAGGACCACCACAGTTATGCAATCCATTTTAAGTGGGCTAGCAAAAATCACAGGGGAACAGCAGAATAAATGCGTAACTTTAAATCCCCGTAGTCACTGTATTCCGCGGGATAAGCGACACTGTGTACCAGCACAGGTTTGCCCATGGTACCTTAAATTCCTCTCTATGGTAACTTCTAGACATTTTAGGGTGTATTCTGGGTACGCGCGATGATGATCGAAGGTTCCAATTTATGCTCAGACCGCAAAGGACTAATGAAAATATTTATAGGCTTCATCTGGAGATTAGATTAATTCTATAGAATATTAAACTGTCAAAAAACAATAGCGTATCAGACTGCTCTGAAATGGATTGATATAGAGCCACATCATCATTATATTTACGGAACTTGTCAGAAGGAATAAGTCAAGTCAAGTCAAGAAAAGCTTTATACACCCAAATAATAAGTTATCGAGGAATGTTGAAAATAAGTAGGGAGGGAGAAAAGCACCCTAAAGGACTCCCGAACTATTCACTGAAGGTTTGCACCAGTACCTTTTCCGCTTGTTCTCTGAATCATTCCTATGAAGGTGGGACTGTAAATTTCGGGACGAAACCAAAAGTGGCAGAATAATCATGCTGCAAAGATTTCTGGGAACCGTTTACAAATAGGGTGTATCCGTGAGAAGACAGTGCCAACTGAAGGGGGTCATTGGGAACGTCGATACGGGACCGCAGATGGGGTAGAAGAGCGCGATCCGTTAAAGGACCTAATGGCAATTGGACGAAAGCGTCCGCATAGAATACCGGATAAGGCGAATTTATGAATGGGAACAACTGTGAAAGGTCTCCTGGAATGAGGAATTAAATTCATCGGCAGTGTGAATTATTTTTTAATGCTTTCAGCCCCTAAAGATGTTACTTTGAGTGGCAAATACTACTTCCAATTAAACAGTAATGTAGTAATTCACATGTAGAAGTCAAAACAATTCAGTGCAAGCGACCATCAAATCCGCTGTTGATTCAACTGAACATATTCCAAAGGTGAATTCGTCGTGTATACAGCAAATGAAGCGTGAACTGAAAAGCTAGGAAGCACTGGACAACTGTTTCGACCTGTTTGGGTCTCATCAGCAGGGCGATGTCATCGCCCTAGCTGGGGATTGAACACGGAACCTCATGGGCAGAACGCAAGCATGCTACCCACTCGACCCCTGGGCAGCTGATCAGATGGATTCACACTGCTGATGAGACCCAACCAGGTCGAAACAGCCGTCCAGTGCTTCCTAGCTTTTCAGTTCACGCTTCATTTGCTGTATACACGACGAATTCACCTTAGAAATTGAATCAAATCCTCCGTTACTCACTTGAACATATTCCACCGTGAACGAGGAAAAAAAGGACCAATCGATCGACTGATCTGACTAGTAATTTAAAATTAAGAAAGAAAGACAACGCTCAGGTTCCTTTGAAAAGGAGGTCCACTTCCTAAAATACGAGGAGAAGGAGAAAGAGTGCACATGACAGTTTGGTTTAAAACCATTGTGGTTCTCATCCGAGCATCAGTTGTTTCCAACTCAAAGTGTAGTTAGTAGCTCTTGAGTGAGTGAAGTTTCAAACCCAACGCAATACATATCTTGTCATTTTGTCCATCTATGGTTGAAAAATGAATTAAACTGTTTCGATCAATCCTCGCGTCCAAGTATGACTGACATTCCTTGGATCAGATATAGAACAATTAGCGATTTCACGACACAATTTAATCCATCTTCCTAGCCGCTTAACACGCATTACCCCAATCTCGATCGGACACAATCGACTGCGGTCAAAATGGCTCAGCAATCAATTATCACGTTTTTTTTTTCTTGAGCAGTTGACCTTAATGAGCACGATCATTTGCACCATGAAAATATAATTATTTATTAACCTGTGCAGAGGTCATTGTGANACTAGGGGGAGACAGTAATGACATTATCATACGAAGTTTATTGCATCGAAAATCGATCGGTTGGCCGGTTCACAACCATGCTTGTCGTCTCCAGGGGTGGAGCATCAAATTAATTAATCCAGGTCGTGATTCGAGAGAGAACAGCGAAGTTTTGAATGGAATCTTCGTCCTCGCATGGATCATATAACTATATTATCCTGGAAGGAACAGACTGGTACAGACTGGTTGATCTCTAATCTGCACGTGAAAAACGCAGTTTCATAGTGAATGCCTGATATAGCTTCAGAATCCATGTGTATGCCGTATGCCACCAAGCCCGAACCGGTGGCAGTATGGAAGAACATCTTGGTAGTGACAAAATCAGGTGATTTCAATTAGGGTTTTCTTACTTGTTTGTTTTTCACATTGATCGTTACAGATGTTAATTAGAAAAGACCGGAAAATCAGTGTAGCTTGTTTACACCACTGGGAAACCCATAACCGTTACGGTACAGAACTCCGGTACGGAACCTTGTCATCCGGATCACGGCTGCTTATCTACAACTAAGGAGTCGAAATCCAAATATT